TATATTCTGGCCTGGTAATTTGTATGAATTTTATGAGCTAAAACAGGCAGTCAGGCAGGGTGGCGGGTGGGGCAAATCTAAAAATAGCGTCTCGGACACTCACCGCGTATATGTGGAAAAAATCCGCGTTAAGTGAAAGTTCAGCTTTGGCAAGGCACCGCGTAAAACGCCAAAGCGGGTAAAACTGTATGATATATATATATATATATATATATATATATATATATATATATATATATATATATATATATATATATATATATATATATATATATATATATATATATATATATATATATATATATATATATATATATATATATATATATATATATATATATATATATATATATATATACACACACAGTTGTACCCCACTTAACGCGGTCAATTGAACCCAGAGGGTCCCGCGTTAAGTGAAATCCGCGTTAAGTGAACAACAGAACATATGGGATTAATTCCAATAGAAACCAGCCCGACCCCCAAACTCCACTTTTTGACGACACATAACTATGTTGTAGTAAAAATTCTATCTTAACTTTATGATGGTATGAAAAAACAAGTAATATAGAAGAGGTTAGGTTAGGAAAGATAAAGGTTAACATAGGAAAAATAAAGAATAGGTTAAAAAACGAAAAATTTTGTGGAACACTTACGGTAGTAGAAGAGATGGGTCGGCATACGGGGATGGAGGCTGGTTCCGAGGCAGAGGGCAGATTACTGGCCCTCAGGTGAATCACCATTACTAGGTGAATCACCATCACTGTCACTTACAGTTGTCAGGGCTTACCTGACAAATCCCTCAAAGTCAACTTCACTATCACTGGCTTGGGCTGGCTGTGGTGGGTTGCGGGCGAAGAACTCGGTTATGCTTTGCTGACGGCTGGCTTTGATGTTGTCATGATACACCGTGATGTACGGCTCCATAGCCTGCACCAGTCGGGTATGGAAGACTTCATAGCGTTCATCGTCATTGTCGCGGGAAAGGACGGACTTAATTTTTTCTGCAAACTCTATGGCACACTTAATATCACTATGACTTAAACTAGGTTCTTCGGAGAATGACGCACCTTCTTCCTCCTCTTCACTGGCGTGTTCTTCTTCCAACATCTCGTCGGCAGTCACTTCAGGATCTTTGATCACCTCCAGGATGTCTTCGTTGGTGGTCTCGGAGAAGCCTTCAGCTGTAATATTGAGCGCAGCTTCTCTGGCAAGGTCCACTGCTACTGCAACAGTCTGAACCTCACCAGTCACAGGTTCACTCCTCCTCTCACCTGGTATGCCATGCAACACGTCTCCATGCGTGACGAATCGTAGCAATAGTCAGCAGATCCCATGCCTCCACCAAGAAGTCTACAGCTTGTTTAACGTTAAACTTCTTCCAAAATTGTTTGACGAGAAGTTCTTGAGTCACCGCCTCTTGTTCCTTGTCCTCGTCGCTTTTGCTCTCGCTGTCGGTGTCACCCAGCTTACGCAACTCATCCTTGGTGTTGGTAGAGTCGTTCAGGAGCTTGAACTTCTTTGCAGAGTATGCAGCTTTCACATTGCAGATCAACTCCTGGTCCATGGGCTGGATTAATGACGTAGTGTTGGGAGGAAGGAAGACCACTTTTACGTTGGGGTGACGATCCATAAGTAGGGGCGAGTGTCCAGGTGCGTTGTCAAGGAGCAACAAAATATTGAATGGAACATTCTGTTGCTCACAGAATTTCTTCACGTCGGGAACAAAACAGTTGTCAAACCAGAAGAGGGACAGAGAAGAGGACATCCACGCCTTACGTGCGGTTAGCCAGTGGACATTAAGCTTTGTTTCCCGTTTTCTGAGGTTCTACAAGCGCGGTGGATTTGAATGTTATATAGCGTAATGTGAATTAAATGGGGTTTTTAGGAATGACAATGATGTGCACAGTACATAATCAGGTATATATTTACCAATTTTATTTTGCAGAGTCAAAACTAGGGCATGCAATGAAAATCATATAAGATTGCACTGTAATTAAAGAAACAAAATTTATTTACAGGAAAAAAGAATACAGTAAATGCCATTCTATAAGAGTAAGCAGTAACTTACATAAAACTCAAATCATTCTTAAATGTGCCAACTCTTTAAGATTAATAACTCAGTAAGACCACACTAAAACATATATTTTCAGTGATCACCATTAGCCCTCTACTTCAAGAACCTCATCTGTCAAGTTGTGAAAAAATTGTGCGTGATTAGATATACCTGCAAGCATATCTTAAAAAAATATCTTCAGAGGGCAAAAATTTGACTCATGACCCTGAACGTTTGAGGCACTCAGATGAGAAAAGAGCTCCATTTACAGTTTAAGTTTTTAAACTATTTCTTTCTTTGGTTTTGAAGAGAATAATTTTGCTGAATACTCTTTCACATTCAACCCAAAATTATCGTACAAACCGTACGATAATAGAAAATGTTATCGTACATCGTGACGAAGATGAATTTATCTTTTACTTTTTTTTACTTTTATCCTCTTCGCCACTGATCGGCTTGTTAGCCGCTTGGGCGATTGGTCACGTCTCTTTTCATTTATATTCTTCACCAAAAGATCGGCTCGCTAGCCGCCCGGGCGATCGGTCACGTCTCTGTCACGCACTGTTGGCAAATGCTGGGCATGCACCGGCTCCTGAATGTACCTGAACCCGCTCCAGTGTTGGTCAAGTCTTCTCTTGAAAGAGCTCACACTCGGTGCCGTCACAACACTCTCTGGTAGATTGTTCCAAGAGTTTACAACCCTCACTCCGAAAAGTTTGCCCTCACGGTTTTCTGGACTTGAGGCTTCTTCAATCTTGAGCTGTGACCCCTTGTGGGGCGAGCGCCCGCCAGCTCCAAGTAAGGACACTCAACTGAGTAGTGCCCCCCTGAGATGCTTATACGCCTCAACTAGGTCCCCCCTTGCCCGTCTGTAGTATAAGCTAGGCAAGTTCAGGCGCTCCAATCTCTCAGGGTAGCTGAGGTGCCGAAGTGCAGGCACCAGTCTGGTGGCCCTCCTTTGAACATTTTCAACCAACTGACAATCCCTAGCATATCTCGGGGACCAGATGAGGTGACAGTACTCCAGATGGGGAAGCACTTCACTCCTGAAGATCGTCACGAGGGACGGACCGTCTAGATATCTGAACGACCTTCTTATAAGACCCAATAATTTATTTGCCTGATTTACCTTCTTCTTACAATGGCCCGAGAACTTCAGCTCATTGTCAACATACACACCTAGGTCCTTCTCACATACAGTCTCAATTACTGCATTTTCTTCATCCCGTTGGGACATATGATACGCCTCCTTACCGTTGGTACGCCCCAGGTGCATCCTCTTACACTTCGTGACATTGAATCTCAGCAGCCATTTCTTCGACCATTCCTGGAGCCCACAGAGGTCCTTCTGCAACTCTTCACAGTCCGCTTGGTTCTTAATTTCCCGAAATAACTTGCCATCATCGGCAAACATTTGTATGGAGGAGTGTACAACGTCAGGCATGTCATTTATGAAACAAACAAACAACAGCGGGCCCAATACACTGCCCTGTGGTACCCCACTTGTTACAGGTGCAGATGACGATTTCGTGCCATTAATCACCACACACTGCTTGCGGTCATGTAGAAAGTCTTCTATCCACGCTAGGACATTTCCCCGAATTCCGTACCCTTCCAGTTTGATTTTCAGCCTTTCGTGGGGTACACTGTCGAAAGCCTTGGCAAAATCTAGGTAAATATTGTCGATATTACCACCCCGTTCTAGAATATGGGTCCAAATATCCAATACCTTGAGCAATTGTGTTAAGCAAGAGCGCCCCGGCATAAAACCGTGTTGGCAATCTTTTACAAGGTTGTTTCGTAGTAGATGTTCCATCGCTGCATCTCTGATAATACTCTCAAGTACTTTACATATTATGCTGGTCAGGCTCACCGGTCTATAGTTGTTCGTGGAGTGACTATCGCCCTTCTTGAAGATAGGACTCACATAAGCCACTTTCCATTCACTGGGGACCATTTGTTCATCCAGGCATTTACAAAACAGGAGCTTCAGGGGCTCTGCAAGCTCGTTGCACAGCTCTCATACATGCACGTAAATCACTGTAGGTGCGCGTGATCTAGTTATATGCTGATAACCACAAGGAAAGAAGAAAACACGAAGTTCCCAAGCGCTTTCGTGTAATTGAAGATGTGAATTACACGAAAGCGCTTGGGAACTTCGTGTTTTCTTCTTTCCTTGTGGTTATCATACATGTATGATAATTATCATACATGTGACAACTCTGCTGCTTCAATATGATTGGCCAGCCAATTCAAATGCTATGATACCTGAAGGTCATGTCATGTCATGTCATGTCGCGAAGAGGAGGAGACAAGTGACTGGCAACATGGCGGGTACAGAAATTTACTCCTAGAAATTTTGTGAAATGTTCCGTTAATATTGATTTGCACAAGAAATGATATGAAGTCGTATGTTTTATTTTTTTTTGTAGCTGTAATATTGAAAATTGAAATCTTGCGGACAGCCAATGGATGAATATTAACATAAAATATTATAGTTCCATAATATTTTTTTTAATAATAGAAAATAAGGGAGAAAGGGAACACGGTGTTCTTACTTTCACTTCTAGCGAGAATAAATGTCCCTCATTCATTACTGTACAGAGAGACATAAATAAAGCCAATTATGCCAAACTGAAATTACCCTAAGATCTTAATGTTACATAAAGAATATTTATCTCAATTATATATATTTTATTAGACCTGTTTATATATCTAGCAGTATTATTTATCTTTTCTGAAATACGAAAAAGAATTTAAATCACCAACATACTGTAGTTTACGTAACTATTAAATACAATTTCAACCTTTATATATCTTCAATAGTTTAATAAAACCATTAAATATATATAAAATTATACATTTAAATAAGAGAACTGTGCGTTAGATACATGAATAATGAAAAAAAAAGTTATCACCATTAAATTAGTTTCTTTAGGTTGTTTGTGGTGTTTAGGAGGACAGCTGATCACTCCTCACAACTCAGACCAAATTTCCCATTCAAGTTTTATCTCTCCCCTTACCATGTGATAAACAATCAGGTAAGGTCCTAAAACGTATATTAAAACCACTAATTAAACCTGAATTAATTTTAAAACTAGAATAAAGTTACGTAGTTGTAGATGAGATACGAATGGTGACTTGTTGTGCTTGTATAATAATTGACCTTTTTGAGTGAATACATAATTATTTATTTGTATATTGAGGGATTAAATAAGTATATGATGTGAAAGAGTGTGTTTTGGGGGTGTTATTTAGCGAGGGAGATGAGTTATGTATAATGGGTTAGTGTTATGTTGTTTACGTGTATATTAAGGTCAAGTTCTTTCTGGGTTTGTGTTATTTGACCTGTTCTTGATATAGTTTGATCTTATTTAACCTATTTTTGACATATTTTGACCTTATTTGACCTGTTTTATATAGTTTGACCTTATTTCACCTGTTTTTTTTATAATTTGACCTTATTTGACCAGTTCTTGATATAGTTTAGCCTTATTTGACCTGTCCTGTCCCCTAAAATATTAAAATTACCCAAACTAACCTAGCCAAAGGTAATTCTAACCAACCTAACCAATTTTAATATATTTTAACCTAACCCAAATAAAACCAAATCTAACCTAATAATCTTGTGGTCATTTTTGGTTAGGTTAGGTTCTTAACAATGAAAATATAGTGTTAGTGGATTATTTATATTATTTTCTTTTATAATTTATCTCTATAATCAGTCTCTTGAATGTCATTTTTATTTGAATTTTTTTTACCCAAATTAATTTTTAGCTGTGTAATTTATTTATTTGTTGCTTGTGTTTACTTTGTTATTTTTAGTTATATTTATAATTGAATGTTACTCTGGGTAGCTTCAGATGACCGATTAAATGTCGAAAAAGTCTGAATTACTAATACAGTCGAGTAACACTTGAAATGTTGGATACTGTACAAGAATAAAGGACTATTTCTTAAGCAGTTTTAGTGGATATATATATATTTTTTTTTACATAGATCATTCTGTTCATTGTCATCCTCGCTGCAATGTTCAGTTACTTGGTGATGGCAGTGTGACAAGGAAGCTAAGTCCAGAATATGTCTTCAAAAGCAATACTCAATCTGCTTAATCAGCGCACATGGCTTGATTGATTAATACACCAAGGCAGTCAGTTTGAACCTGTGGTCTATTCACCCTGGATATATCATCTGTCGTACCGTATTAAAAAAAAATCAGCAAAATATCCCTCGCAGACATCTGGCAGAAGAATTACAGTCTGGTGATGGCCTCATGACTTAGCGTTCCGTCAGCTCTTCTACTGTTATATATATCGTCTGTGTTGTGTACGAACTGATTCAAGTGAAATACAAAGAAAGGAGGTGGGAGATGTTATACTGGCAGATAGTAGCATTCATTCCTGTGTGTTATATGTCAGGTTTGGTAAAATGATTATAAACTTGTTGCTTAATGTTGTTGTTGTTGTAGAATATTTCCTTTTGTTTTGAAGGAAATGGCCTGCAGTGCTGATGGCTTACCCACAAGTGAGGCCCTCAGTCTCTTGCATGAGGACATCTCCATCGCTTTGGATGAATATCAGAAGACAGAAGCTGAAAAGTAAGTGTAAAAAAGATTATTAATTAATTTTGAAATACAGTATTAACCTGTGGGGCATATTGGAGTCTATACTTTCTTGTAAATGAGGCGTATAGACTAACCAGGGCGTATGTGCGAATATCTCAACTCGGTTCAATTATTCGGGCTGTACTGCATGTTTTCTGCCCTTGGTTTCTTATGGGATTGTACCACGCTGGAGGTGTATCCACATTGCCTGACAATGATGCTATGGACTGACACAGAAAATGGGAAATTGAGCAACCCAGTGATGTGCCCTTGCTATTGTAAACACCTCATATGTTTGGTGATATTGTATTATGTTTTATATTTCAGGAACAAAGGTTTTGGACCAAAGAGTGTTCTGTATGAAGCCTTCCACCACAAGAGTAGTCTCTCTGTGTTTCATTGGACATCAGTGATAGCGTTGATCGTTGAAGGCATCGTGCTGCTGGTGGCCTTCGCTGCATGTAATGACCCCAGGTGTGTACAGTATGGGTCCATAAAATACAACAGGCATATGAAGTTACCTTTGATTCTTTCTGTGCTATATATTGACCTGAGAATGTGGACTGGTGTAATATTCTCCATACATAGGTAAAAATATGACCTTATGATTTGGTATGAGTGTAAATACAAGCAAACATACAGTAGCAGTAAAGCAACCATTTGTTGACAGATAGGATAACTACTCTGATGTCCTTAATAATTTTTCCATTAGAGAATTTAAGATGAATTTTGTTCTGTTTAGATTTACAGATGATGTAATATGTTTATTATTATTATCAGGTACCAGCATCTTCCTGCCGAGTCCTTCTTCATTTTCTTAGCAGTAATTCTTAACGTGTACTTGGTGTGGTGGGACACTCAGCTGAGGCACAAAGAGGTCCCAAGACTCACACACAACGTCTTAAAGGATCTTAAAGGTAAAGCATTGTGACTTACGGTAACGTTTTTTTATTAATATCCGAACATTGTCTGTGAATTTTAAAACTGTTCTTTATTTAGTTACCCACAAAAGTACCGTCAGTGTGTGTGTTGTTTCATACTAGGACCTTGACACTACTCTCCTGCAACTTTCTACACTTATCATTACACCACTACCCACCACTGTTCTCTCCTAACTACAGTATTTGAGGTTTCTTTGTCACTTACTCTTGCTTGTTTCCGTTGGTGTCATGCGTGCCATTTTTTTTTTTCAGAATACCACGGCAATGTGTTGTGGTCTGCCGAGAACTATCCTCACCTCCACTCCCCCTGCATCACCCTCCAGTGGACTCGTCGCGATGGTAACACAGTCAACCTCCCTTGGTCTCTCCTGGTGCGTGGGGATATTATACTCATGAAACCTGGACAGAAAGTTCCTGCTAGATGTAGGCCCATGCAGGTAAGTAGTATAATTTTTATTTATTCCTAACATTTACTGGTACTACAGTATATGCACAAATGATGCAACCCTGGTGCCTAAGGTCCGTAATTGCCTTGGATAATGAGGAGTATCTATTGAAATATATGTGGTGAAAGTTGCTGGCTGAGAAAGCATCTCCCCTTATTCAAATTAATTCTTATGGGGGAAAATTGCCCCAATATTCACAATTTCGTTATTTTCAATGACTTTTAGGAATGCCTCCCTTGCGATAACTGGGGTATTCCTGGTACAGTATGCACGTGACACAGTACAGCCGGGCAGTCACCCAGCTGACCCAATGCCTTAATACATATGTTCACTTCCCACACATACACACACATGCTCTTAATTTTTTTTTTTTTAGTTTTATAATTTCTTTATTTCTAAGCCACATTAGAGTATTGTAATGATTTCTTTTCTTCTCAAACAAGCACAGAGAAGCGATAAACATACTGAGATAAGGGAGAAGGATGGTTTGTTGATCCTTTATATAATGTACTTTAAACCTTTGTTATCAAACCACTATAAAACTATTTAAAATTCAGATACTGTACCATGTGGCAACAATGGTACATATTCTGTTACGAGTAATACTATTAGAAATGTCGTTTGACAATAAATTGACGATACGTATTTAGATAGCCAAGCAACTTATGAATTACACTGGTGTCAATATACATTACTGGACCCTCGATAAAGAATGATATTAGGTTCCTGAAACCTCAATTAGTTGTGAATCATTCTTTACTGAACTTCTTATGGGAAAGAGGGCTAGGGTCTGAACATCGCAAAGATTGACTTTTTTAACTATAGTACGTATGCCTATTTTCATCCACGATGGCGTCACAGCAGTAGAGTACTGCATTCACAAGAGTACTGTACTGTACATAACATAAAATATGGTAAGAAATGATTTATTGAGAATCGTGCATGTCGTATTCTCTTTACCACCGATCAACAACTAACCATCACCATCTCCCTACTGTACACCCATCTTATGATGTCAAACAACAAGCATGGAATTATTGTGATCCTAATACTACTCATAATAAAATCACTGGTACTGTACTTCCCAAGGTAAAACTACTTTGTTCAGCAGCACACCTCCATACATTATTTGTTACTTATGGCATTATAAATTTTATGATTTGACAGATAAGGATGGGTGTTTTATTCATATTTTATTTTGCGTTATTAACAAGGTTCTGAGTTATGAATAAATCAACTTATGAACAGGTCCTGAAATGTAACCCGTTCATTATTCAGGGGCCCCTGTACAGTATACAGATTCATCCAAGGCAAACACTTGGATGGATGCCAATATGCAGAAATTAAAAGCAATATAACATTTACGAGACAAAAACTTATCATATTTTCTTTAAGATCTGGAGAAAAAATATAACTTAAGTGTACATCTATTATCTATACTGTAATTCAAAATTTATATTTCTTTAATATTGTATACCATCAGCTTCAAATTATATAAAGTTAAATTTACCTGTACATGTGGTTTCTTCTCCAACACTTTCTATGAAGATATTTCATTCCATCCATCAATGGGTCCCAGCTTTCATAATGTGTGAGAAGTGAGACAGCAATAAAAGATGTCATCATGGGAATTGCACCAATATAAATTAGCAGTGAATACTTGATGCCCTTGAGCCAGATGTCCACAAACATTGTCAAGGGAATAGTTAAGCTCAAAGATAAAGTAGCCATCAATGATGAAGTAAGGAAGCATCCCCTGCAAAATAAAACACCTTCAATTCCCAAGTAATTCCAATGTAGGTCAAACAATTACAGTATTACCCCGCCTAACGCGGTTTCACTTAGCGCGTTTTCGCATATACGCGGTGCCTTGCCAGAGCTGAACTTTCACTTAACACAGATTTTTTCCACATATACGCGGTGAGTGTCCGGCTCGAGATGCTATTTTTAGATTTTGCCCACGCGCCACCCGCCTGCCTGCCTGCCTGTGCTCCTCGCCTCTCCCTCCTCCTCCCTCCGCTTGGGCAAGCCGCGCGGTAAGGTTGCGCAGTGTGTGTCTTTGTTGCGTTATCACTGACGTCATATGACGTATCGGACTGTGATTGGCCATGCATCCCTACCCCCCTCTGCTGCTAGCTGTAATTGGCTTAAAGTATTATGACGTGACCACCCCGGGGAGGGAGGGAGGGAGGAGAGACGACGCTTGACCTAGCCGCGGCAGTTTCATCCCTCAAGGCCACACCGTGTTAACGCGCATCCATTGTTCCGTAAAATGGCTTCCGCCGGACCACCATCGCCCCCAGAGAGAGACCTTTCCTTACCTGGACCCAGCGGCACTAAGCCAAAGAAGACACGACGTTCATTAAGCTACGAGGTGAAGTACCAAATTGTTCAAGATTTGGAGAAAGGAAGACGGCAAGTTGATCTCGCGCGCCAGCATGGCGTCAACGAATCTACGATTCGTACGATCAAGAAGGATGCAGCCAAGATCAAAGAGCACATGAAAATCACAAAGTCTGCAGGTGCTTCATCTATCAGGTATTGCCAGAACAGGGTGCTGGCAAAAGTGGAAAATTTGCTGGTGAGTTATTTGGTGCGTCAGGCGCGACGCAACATGGCGGTGGACACTCGCTCAGTGCAGGAGTACGCACGTGAGCTATACGCAGCAGTGACACGTAAACTGGGAATTGCAGAGCCCAAACCCTTCAATGCTTCCTCTGGTTGGCTGCATAGGTTTAAGAAGAGGAACAAGATCACCAACATCAACATTGGTGGTGAGGAAGCGAGTGCTGACCGTGTGGCGGCTAGAGATTTTCCTCCGTTCTTACGTGAGATTATGGAGGAAGGACAGTACACTGACGACCAGGTGTTTAACATGGACGAATCTGGTCTTTTCTGGAAAAAGTTACCTTCCAAGACCTTCGTTGTCCAGTCTGCCAGCAAGGTAAGGGGTCGGAAGTTGCAGAAGGAACGCATCACCGTCCTGTTTACCACCAATGCCTCCGGTACCTGTAAACCAAAGTTATCGGTGATTCACACAGCCCGCAAGCCGCACGCCTACAAGAATATGGACATGAACAAGCTTAATGTCCACTGGCTAACCGCACGTAAGGCGTGGATGTCCTCTTCTCTGTCCCTCTTCTGGTTTGACAACTGTTTTGTTCCCGACGTGAAGAAATTCTGCGAGCAACAGAATGTTCCATTCAATATTTTGTTGCTCCTTGACAACGCACCTGGACACTCGCCCCTACTTATGGATCGTCACCCCAACGTAAAAGTGGTCTTCCTTCCTCCCAACACTACGTCATTAATCCAGCCCATGGACCAGGAGTTGATCTGCAATGTGAAAGCTGCGTACTCTGCAAAGAAGTTCAAGCTCCTGAACGACTCTACCAACACCAAGGATGAGTTGCGTAAGCTGGGTGACACCGACAGCGAGAGCAAAAGCGACGAGGACAAGGAACAAGAGGCGGCGACTCAAGAACTTCTCGTCAAACAATTTTGGAAGAAGTTTAACGTTAAACAAGCTGTAGACTTCTTGGTGGAGGCATGGGATCTGCTGACTATTGCTACGATTCGTCACGCATGGAGACATGTGTTGCATGGCATACCAGGTGAGAGGAGGAGTGAACCTGTGACTGGTGAGGTTCAGACTGTTGCAGTAGCAGTGGACCTTGCCAGAGAAGCTGCGCTCAATATTACAGCTGAAGGCTTCTCCGAGACCACCAACGAAGACATCCTGGAGGTGATCAAAGATCCTGAAGTGACTGCCGACGAGATGTTGGAAAAAGAACACGCCAGTGAAGAGGAGGAAGAAGGTGCGTCATTCTCCGAAGAACCTAGTTTAAGTCATAGTGATATTAAGTGTGCCATAGAGTTTGCAGAAAAAATTAAGTCCGTCCTTTCCCGCGACAATGACGATGAACGCTATGAAGTCTTCCATACCCGACTGGTGCAGGCTATGGAGCCGTACATCAAGGTGTATCACGACAACATCAACACCAGCCGTCAGCAAAGCATAACCGAGTTTTTCGCCCGCAACCCACCACAGCCAGCCCAAGCCAGTGATAGTGAAAGTGAAGTTGACTTTGAGGGATTTGTCAGGGAAGCCCTGACAACTGTAAGTGACAGTGATGTTGATTCACCTAGTAATGGTGATTCACCTGAGGGCCAGTAATCTGCCCTCTGCCTCGGAACCAGCCTCCATCCCCGTATGCCGACCCATCTCTTCTACTACCGTAAGTGTTCCACCTAACTTTTAGTTTCTCTTAGGTAACCTTCATTTTTCCTATGTTAACCTTTATCTTTCCTAACCTAACCTCTTCTATATTACTTGTTTTTTCATACCATCATAAAGTTAAGATAGAATTTTTACTACAACATAGTTATGTGTCGTCAAAAAGTGGAGTTTGGGGGTCGGGCTGGGTTCTATTGGAATTCATCCCATATGTTCTGTTGTTCACTTAACGCGGATTTCACTTAACGCGGGACCCTCTGGGTTCAATTGACCGCGTTAAGTGGGGTACAACTGTATAGAAGGTGTTAACTAAGAAGACAATTCCAAAAAAAAAGAATCTTTACTGCAAAATTTTTTTCTTGCATTATCAGCTAAGAGAGGAATGTATGATATTCTCTGAAACACTTCAATTCAGAAACAAATTCAGACTTTATTTCAAGAAATAAAGTATAAAGGTAAGCACCTATTTGGTACATCCTTTTTCTCTATGATACAGTGGCTACAATCAAGAACATATACACACACACACTGTTCGTTTTTGTCACTCATCCTCTAAACCGCTAAGACACATGCATTGTGCGATATTGTTCCCTTCCACAACAATGCTCAAAGACATCCTTCTACATTTTCCCTGTCACTTTACACAATCTAGCATCCTCAAACCACAGAGTCCATTCTCAAAAAGTACTTGATGCCATACTGTCTAGTCAGGCTCAAGATGATTATAAACTAACCTAAGGTATCATATTGTTTCACACAGAGTAAGCACAGATACTTCTTTTAGCTACTGTACCTATAGTTTTTTATTTTCCTTTTTTATGATGGTTTTTCAATAATCATAATCTATGGTTTAAACATATGGGAGATTATGGCCGGAATCAACATTTCAAAGAGGTCATGGTCATCAGTGCCCAACCATAAAAATTCTGGACATATTAATCAAATTTCATAAATGAGATTGACAATATCAATACTTTGTTATAAATGGTTTAATTGATAAAGCATTACTAACCAAAGCCAAAGAAGTTCAGACAGGACAGTTCCTACTAAGCCATTAACAGACATGTAGAACAGGTGTTGCAGATTTGGCAACTGAAATGTCTCCCATCCAAAAACATCCAACAGGGGGAACCCGGGCCACAGAATGATGGTATTGAAAAAGCCCACAAATCCTGGAGAAAAAAAAATATTAATAAGAAAACAAATTAAAAAGACCAATACATTCAACCTATCTATCTACAGTACCTACACCAACTGTGCCACAAATTTTGTTTTATTTCAAGAAGTTAAAATCATTACACTTTAATAATTCACACCCGAATAACTGAAGGCAATAAATTTGTACAGAATAAAGCAAAATTATCTCTCCCTGAAAAATAAGAATCCTCTCTTTGTGTTAGTGTTGTGTTCTGACAGTTTAACGGTGTGAATTCCCATGAAGAAGTAAATACAATGCCTGCCAAGTAACTGAAGTATGGCATATGAATACGATGTGACAGTTAGAAATTCAATGACAACACAATTGTATTAGCTTATGACTACCTGGTAAATGTAATAGGAGAGTGGTTAAGTTATCATTTCATATTACTGTACAGCTATATTGCTAAAGTATTACCTTCAAGAACTATAAAAACATTGACCAGATCATGATGGATCAGGGAGTTGATCATTCTTTGAACTGGGTCGACTCCTCTGATTTGCCCTTTGAGGAGATGCTGATATTACATAATGATGTCTTCTAGTCCATTTCAAACCATTATTGTCCAGAGGTGGCAAAGAAAATTACAGTACGAGATGACTCTCGTTGGAATGACTCCTCTATAAGTTCACTTTGTATGGATCGTAGAAGTGCTGAATGAGAGAAGCACAGGCAGTGAACAGACCGTACTAGATCAGAGTACATAATATGACTGTGCGTACGGCTGTTGTTTGTTCAGTGTGGGCACACAACGCTGAATATTGTATACTACAGAAGTCAAATGGCCTCATGTGGCAGTGACCAGAAAAAAATATATACAGTTATGAATGGGCTGTTGGGCCAAAGGTCTGGAATTACTATGCTTTGTTCCACTTCAAATGGTCAGCTTGCCTCAGATGTTTCCTAAGGTTTTTATGACAAAGATATCATGTGACCTTGATTGTGTTTCTTTAGATGAGAAATTTTCAGTTATTTTCAACCAAGTTACACAATAGAACTCACTCTTTCATCATTTTGTCTTACAGAGGTGAACAACATTCTGCACTATATCAAGGATTTGAAGAAGACTTTGTTGTCGTGATCTTACAAATGTATTTAAGGTATCACTCTCTTATGAACATACTGCAGACTTTATTTGTAGAATCATATATATGTGATTTTCAGAGGGTAATTTTGTGTGATCTGAAAAACAGGCTTTATTACATCCACTTCTGGTCTTGATACTGAAAATATGTAAAATTATAGTCATCCAGTCTCAAGTCTCATTTTCATCAGAGATCATACTATGCTGGATTAGTTACTTTCTCTGTTAGAGAGAAGCAAGTGATCCATCTGGTCCAGTCAGCCTATAGGTTGCATCATTCAACTGAAACTGCCTATGTTGAATTCATAATGATTTGGTAATAAACACTTGCACAGAAAAGTCCTCCCTCCTGGCCCTACTGGATCTCTCTGCAGCATTTGCAGCATGGCTTCAGGATCTTTGGTCATTCAGTGTCCATGATGATGCATTCTCACTGTTTGAGTCTTATCTGTCAGAGTGATCTCAATGTGTGATAGTTGGTGGAACCGTTTCAGACCCGGTCCCTTTGCAGTTTGTCGTCTCACAGGGATCAGTTTTGGGACCACTTCTGTTTACAGTCCATACCAGTAGTTTTGTAATTTTGCTGGATGTGTAGGTTACTAGTGTGCCCTGAAGAATGCTGTGATGGCTAGGGAAACACTGAGTAACACTGAGTCCGTTTATTGTGGATGAGAGAAATACAAGTGGTGACCAGCGTGTGCCAAGCACAGCTCACACAGTCAGACTGAAGCTGCCTTGCCATATGGCAGCCTCGGGGCAATGTTGCCACATAACACGTGCAGTGTTGCCACGTGATTATATATATAAATGCTACTCGGCACAGTAGCTTATGTACAGGGTTGCTACTTGGCACAGTAGCTTATGTACAGGGTTGCTACTCGGCACAGTAGCTTATATACATAACCTACATCTCCCTCCCCCCTCACGCTCATAGTCTTTGTCTTGAGCGGACTTCTTAGTCCTAAGTCGCTCCGAGCGTCGAGGTGCACTGTGGGGCGGATCCTCGTGAGGTGTAGGTGACTCGTCCTCGGTCAGGGGGCCAGCAGCAGGGGTGGGACTGGCCGGAGGAAGCGGCGGTTCCTCCACCAGACACGGCCACTCGGCATCCTGACCTTGTAGTCCTGCGACCGGCCGACGCCCATCACTATGCCCACCTTGTCCCAACGTGTCGTCGTCGGGTCCCAGACGCAGACAAGGGCACCAATCTCCAGTGGCTGAAGAGGGCGGGCACGGTCGTCATACCGAGCTTTGGCGTCCTGGGCACGTGAAGCGGCGCGGCGGTCACAGCTCTCGGCTTTGGTCTGCCAGTCCTTCGCAAAGGCCTTGGCGTGTGTAGGAACACAAGAGCGGAGAGGGTGACCATACAGGATCTGGGCAGGGGAGCGTCCTGTGTGGGTGGGAGTGGATGCGGGTTCTGGGCAGCTCTGTGTGGCAGTGCCAGGCGCGTCGCTCGTTAACTCACGCACCCTGCTGGCGGTGTACCGAGCAGCTGGGATCTGCTCAGGAAAGTCTCTGGGCACCACGCCTAACTCCTTGCAGTGCACCCACGACAACAAGGGTGTAGCGAGAGTAGGCCGCACGTCGATCCATCAGTAACACGACCTGTCGCCGTAGGTGATCTCTGCCTGAAAGGAGCCCACAGCGTCCGGCATCTGGGAACCGTCCGCATTGTAGTACTGCAGCTGCGGCGGTGGTCCCAGGCCGCGTTTGGTGAGGCCCAGTTTCTGGAGGTGCTTCAGGCCTATCACCGTAGTATCGGCGCCGGTGTCCGGTATCACCTCGATGTGACCCGACACATCACCGTGTGTGACGGCGACGCGGATAGTAGGGGAAGGGGTAGCCCTGGGGCGTGTGGTCGATTCCACCCTCCTGATGTGACTCCGCTGCTGCTTGGGGCTGCGTGGGCCATCTGGAGGGGGCTGCGTGCGAACCACCCCGAGGGAAGTGCGCTGCTGTCCTCCTCGTCTCGGGCTTTTGGGCTTGGGTTGGCGGCATCACTTGTCGTAGTGTCCATAGCGACCGCAGGCCTGACACTTGTGGCCTCGTGCAGGGCACCAGTCTGTGTTAGACCAGTGGCCCTTACGGTCACATCCACGACACAGTGCGTCGGCGGCCGGGCATGTCTTGGGGCTGTGCTGCTTTCCACAGCTGCCACAGGAAGCACTAGGCGGAGGCGTGGAAGAACGTGTGGCAGCCTTCGCGTTGTTGGCCGCCTTCTTATCCTTCTTGTATTGTGAGATAGCTCTCACAGCAGGTGGGGCCCGTAAGGCAGAGGTGGCGGACTTGGTGGTCTCGTATGACCGACATTCAGTCACTACCACCTGGAGTGTGGAGGAAGCGTCCAGGGGGATGAGTCGCTGCATCAACTCTTCATGCCTGACACCTGTCAAGATCCCGTGCTTGATCCAGGCTTCCTCACATTCCCGGCTGTGCGCCTTGCAGACGTCGATCTCCTCCGACAAACTCTTCAAACGTACAAAAAAGTCGTCAAAGGATTCGTTCTCCGCCTGCTTGCAGCTGGTAAAGGCACGGCGACGCAAAGCCTCGTTATTCCGACCCTTAACGTGCTCCTGTAAAAGGTCGAGCACATCCGTCACTGAAGATGTAGAATCGGGAGGCACTTGCAACGTGTGCTCCAAAACTCTCTGGGTCTCCAGCGACAAACACATCCGCAGTTGGATGAGCTGTTTGTTTGGAGGCATGTTGTCAAGGTCCACCATCGTGGAGTAATCTGTCCAACGCCGCCTCCACTCACGAAAAAGCTGAAACGTGACGTCTGGTGAGAGGGCGGGTGGGGGTTGAACAGATGCCTTGGGAGCTGTTGGGGTAGCAAGAGTACCTGGAGGACGCTGGTGTGGTGGAGGAGGGAGTGTACTGGCGCCTTGAAGCGCGCTACCTGCAAGTGAGGGAGG